CCCGCCATGCCCGGCGACGAGTAGCAGCGTTATCGCGTGACAAAGCGCGTATAGGTGAACGATAGACGGTCGGTCGCACCCGTGAATATTCATCCGACCCGCTAATTGGCGATACGATGACTATTCATGAATCAACGATTTTCAATAGCTGTTATTCGACGTACGAACGAAAGGCGGAGCAACAATGAGCGAAACGGGGCGAGAGTAGAGGGGGGGAAGGGGAGATGGTCCGTGTATATACGCGGGCAAGAGAGAGAGAGAGAAAGGGATTGAAAAGGAGATCCGAGAAATGGAGATTCGAAAGATAGGAATCGGGGATCGGAATAGGGCCACGCTCGAAATAAAGAAATTCCGAGAAAGGGATGGAGTTGCGGAGATAAATCGGTCTAGGAGAGACGTGTGTATATAAAGGAAGAACGGTTCTACTCGGCCCTTCTCGAGCCGAGACAATGAGAGTCGAGTCGATAAGAAACGATAAATTTCACTTCTCTCTCTCTCTCTCTTTCTTATATATATATATATATATTTCAATCTTAAAACGCATTTCGAAAATAATACAACAATAAAGACACGATGGATGGAAAGTAATTTTTCTCTCCTGTTTGACAAATTCGTGTGAAAGAGTGAGAGATATCGGGGGATATATTGAAGAAAGAAGATTCGAAAAGTTGGATTCGATCGGTGGTAATAATCCCCCCCCTCCCTCGTGCGATAATCGCACATGTCGAAGGTAAATTCGTGCGTGGACCGGGCGCGCTTGCGTCGGGGAGCAAGAACGCAGACGTGGTGCCTCCCCCGCGGCTCTCTGCGACGCCCGGCGCCCGATACCCCGTCATCGGTATTGGTCATCCTCGATGACGAGAAGGAATCGACGCGTGTGCTGTTGACAGATCGTTTAAATTTCGGGACGTGTCGCCACCAATTTGGCGCGCACGGTGTCGCGTATCTCTGAACCCAGCCGGCCAGGTTTCGCCCAAATAATTTTCCGCGAGTTCGATCAACGAGGTGTCGCTCGCGTCGCGATACCGATTTCCCGTTTCTCATCGATCGTAAAAATTAGTAAAGGTAGAAATTTTTAATTTGAATTCGATCCTCTTGGATCGAATCTTCAATTTTCGATTAATAATAATGATTAATTGGAGATTTAAAACGGTTTTATTCTTATCCTTTTCTAAAATTTTTAAATTAATTTCAATTTTAATCTTCGATCAATAATAATTTGGAGATTTAAGACGCTCTTATTCTTTTTTAAATTTTTAATTTTCGACGAAATGTGATCGATCAATAATAATTTGGAGATTTAAGACGCTCTTGTCCTATCCTTTTTTAAATTTTTAATTTTCGACGAAATGTAAACCAATAATAATTTGGTGATTTAACAAGATCCTTTTCCAAATTTTTAAACTAATTTTAATTTTAATCTCCGACGAAACGTAACGTATTATGACCGACCAATAACAATTCGAAGATATAAAATTCTCTTCTCCCATCCTTTTCCAAATTTTTAAATTAACTTTAATTTTAATTCTTCCAAATGTAACGAATAATAATGATAAAATCACGTGACGATGGACCAATAATAATTCAAAAACTCTCCCTTTTCCAAATTTTCTGAATCAATTCTAATTTTGATCCTCGATCGAGCAACTCGAAGATTTCAAGACGCCCAAATTTTCCAAATTGAAATTGAGATCGTCGACGACTATAATTTATATTATAATCTAATCATCTCTAATCATCGACGACGGCAATAATAATATAATCATCGCGAGCGAGAGAGAGAGAGAGAAAAGCGGGAGAAGAGAGAAAATTGGCGAGATAAAGAAGAGAATGGCGCGGCCGGCCGATGGAAACGGGGCGTCATTCCCTCAAATCGAAGTTTATTTAGCCTCGGTTTACGGCTCACTCCGGATTCACTTAAGCTCGAATCGCCGCAGGAATCGCAGCGATGTCGTCCCATGCGATTCGGAATTTTGGAACCGTTCCAAGCGACCTTTGAATAGTCACCGAACGCGCGCCACGGGGAAGGGAGGGGAGAGGAGAAGGAGGAGGAGGAGGAGGGGAGAGGAGGGCGAACGTTAGCGATCGAGGAGAGGAGCGGCTCGCGGAAAAATTTACGACGACAATAAACTTCGTCCACTGTGTGCGGGGAACAGGATTATATATATATATATATATATAAAAAAGTAAAAGAAAAAGAAGTGGAAGAAAGAAGGGGAAGGAATCGAAGAAGACGAAAGATGAAATTATCGTAACACGATTCCCTCTCTCCCTCCCCCTCCCCCGATTAAATTCGACTGTTGCTTATCTCCCCGTTGCGAATCGAGCTCGGTTTGCTACAATTACAATTTGTCGAAAAACAGTGACGACGGTCGAGGAACAGAACAGTTGTTGGAGGACGGTTATTTAATCCCACAAGTTTTTTTATCGCTCGGATATACCGCCTAACCTATAATATTAGTAATCGCTAGTGAAATCGTAGAAACGCGAATAAATTACGCGATGTTTCGACAACTCGCGCAGACGAGTTTTTCTCTTTTTTTCTTTCTTTTTTTTTTTTTTTTTTATTCGTTACTCGCCACGGCTTCGACTTCCGGATCAGCGATTTCGAACAAAACTATGGCGAATATAACAAGACATGTTATATTCGTATCCGATGGAGAAATCCTCTCGGACCAAAACCATGAAAAAAAATGTCAATTTTT